AACAGAAAGAAATATTTACCTGAATCATAAATTTATCGATCAGATAGAACTATCCTATAACTGCGGGAGAAAAGCAGCAAAAAATTTATCTGAATTATAAATTTATACATGAGATGCAACTTTCCCATCACTACGGCAGCAAAGCAGAAAAGCAGAAGAAAATTTTACCTGAATCAAAAATGTATCAATCAGGTAGAGCTGTCCTATAACTACGAAGAAAAAGCGGAAAAAGATTATCTGAATTATAAATTGATCAATCAGATAGAACTTTCCTATTACTATGGCTGGAAAGGAGAAAAAAAAATTATCTGAATCATAAATTTATCAATGAGATAGGACTTCTTTACAGACAGTTTGTTAGAAGTTTCACCTTGGATGCACATGAGTTGTTTATTTCGAATACGAATTCAAATGAACAATCAACTGCTTGAAATCGGTTCCAAAGTAAAAAGAACCATGCGATCTCAGCGAATTAGGATGAAAATCCAAAAGAGAAAGTTTTTCTAGCTATACATTTATAATTTGAATTCCAATTGACACCTATGTCAACTTAGGAATTTTAGGAAAAGATGTAATAGTACTATTAGTAAAGTCCTAGGAGGCTTAGGAGGCATTTCACCTAAGCCATGACCACTTTCTGTTAAACGTTGCTCAATAGATCGCACCGATTTTGTTCATGTTTTTACAATAAATAGATCTTGTAGAGCTAGCAATATGGTATGGGTGTGGATGTAAGTGTTCTTATCCACAATGATGTCTACACCACCACCCCCATCCACATGCACACACCCACACATCGTATTCACACTCACATACAACCCTTGTGGATGTAAATTTTTGTTTTGACGACTTCGTTTGTTCATAGACACAACGTAGAATCTTTATTTTGTGATTGAAACAAAAAAGAAAGAAAAAAAAATATAAGTTTCTCTTTGTAACCTATCCTTACTCCGGTCAATAATTTTTCTTTTGGACAAAAAAAAAGAGAACGGAAGTGATGATTCATTTATTATTTAACCAATGAAAAATAATGGAATATGTTTCCCAGCCGGGCGTTGCACTCTCTCTCTCTCAAAAAGAACGAAATAGAGGGATAATATTCACCCGATTCAAAGTTCCATGGCTATAGGCGAGGTAATTAATTTTCTAGAATTCATAGACAGTTATTCTTATTAAACAGGACTGAAAACAAGATCTACAAAATATTTTTTGTTTTAGACACAACACACTGATGAAATCGACATTGTCGGAAATTTAAATACAAAAGAACAAATTATAACATGTAACTTTTAATTTTACATTATTCGTCAAAATAAGAAACTTTTATTTAATAATTTTAGTTATTAATGAATTGAACGGACTTTTCACCACTAAAGAAATTCAGATCTTCGATAGTTTAACAAAAGTTGTTTTTCGTATAAAGTAAAAATTTATGATACAAATTGAATAAAACAATTTTTGTTTAGATTCGAAAATAAGGAACATATAGAATTCGTGAAATTAATGGCTTCGTTCTCGAGCTTGGTTCATAACCTAACTGATAAAGCAAGTGTTCTGTTCATCATTTGACGTCTATTTTGGAGCACCGTTATTGTTTTTGTTCGCCGTTGTTTTTCTTTTCACAGTTGCTTTTTCTGCGCCTTTGTTTTTTTTGTGAAGTTTTCTTATATGTTCATTACTTGTTCTTAGTTTAACAGAAGCTAAAGCACATTCGAAACGTTGTCATTCAATATGAGAAGCATCAATACTATCACGTAAAGGAATTAATCCTGCTTCATCACAAACAGCAGCAAATTCTGCACCTGAATAATTTTTTGTCAATTCAACTAAACGTTCTATTTCAATATAAGGATTAATTGGTTTATGACGAAATCGAATTTAAAATATTTCAAGATGTGTTTGTTCATCAGGCAATGGGACATAAACAAGACGATGAAAACGTCCAGGTCGCATTAGTGCCTATGAAAAACGAGGATGCGAATGTGGGTGAAGACAAGACCTAAAACCATACTCACACTCACACCCATCCTCCAAAGTCTGCATTACAATTAACAATTGAAGATTTTATCTATCAAGTAGCTTTGATTTCTACTTATTTTGCGATTGGAATGCCATCTTACGTGAATACTCTGTATGGTGGAAGTGTATTTAGAAAAGCCATGGCTACTCTGCAGAAAGTAGTCATTCGAAAAGTTATGTGCAAATAAATGTTCTATTAGTACAGTATAAAATATAAACATGTTTCTTCCAAAAAAAACATAACTTATTGTATTGAAAATGTTTAGGAGTATGATATATTAACATCAATCTTTGTCATATCTGATTGGCTACCGGCCTAATAGATTTTATTTCATAGGGTCATAGGTGTGGGTGTCGCGAGTGCGTGTCGTTACACAGCTTGTTTGTGTAAGTCAGCTCATGTGAGCCACTACTCACTGTGCTCATATGAGATTCTCACATTTTGTTTAACTTAAGATATATTATGGAAGGAAGTGTTATGTGAATTATGGTGTCAGTCATTTTTTAAACATGGAAGTGTCTACTGGAAGTCCTGAAATTTCAGACTGCTAAAAAGGACATTTTGAGAATTCAATATTTCGAGATCTGCTCAATGATCAAGCTAAAATTCTGGCATCCATGTCCATACCGATGCATTCTACCTACAAAAAAGATATTGATTCAAATATTTGAGGATGTGGGTGTGTAGGTATGGTGGCTGTGAGTAAGTCTGACTTCTGATCTAGGTGAAGAGGGTATGGCGGAGATAGACTCAAGGCTAATATCCATACCCACACCCTGTGGTCGTCCATAACGTATACATTCTGAAACATCAGAAGATTGATGATTCTTAAGATTCGGATATTTTTCATCACAGGTTTTGCATGTTGATTCCTTCTTCAGAGAACAATGCTTCCTAACGAGTCCTATTCTACAAGAGTTGAAGTAAATTAGTACATTTAATTTTGCTTAAAATTCGATGAATTCTTATTTAAAATGTATAACTGTAATTTCTACGACTTCGAGTCTTTCACCTCGTAGTTTAGCTGCACGCATTGATTGTTGGATTTTTGTAATCGAATCATATCCACTATACCAGGGTGCTTGTCTTTTATCTTTTACACAAACTCATTTCAGTCCGTCCGCAGTGATACAAAAAGTAGAACAAGAGCAAGTTGTGACGGGGCTGATGATCTTTTCGTTACGTACTTGGAGTCTACTAATGTCGTAGACCAGTTATTGTGATTGTACAGGAACAACAAAGAGTTCACTGTTCTCGACGAAGATTGCGACTGAACACTCGCTATTGCCTGACCACCCACGTCAATAGGCTACTACTTTTAATTCGAAAATCAGATTTTTATGTGCATGCTTGGTCAGATCGGCGATACCTATCTTACTTACTTCGAACTTCCTTCGAGAAATTCAACGAGAGTGGTGACAATGGAAGCACATAGTAGTGAAACGACAGGCTGTAATGGTAGGTTGTTGCAGATAATCTGTTGACTGCTCCATGAGCTGATTCGTCCCGCGGCTGTGATTGATTACTAAAATAACACTCACACTCATACTCAGACACCCACACATCCTTCTGAATAAAACTTGACAAGATTCTTGAGACTGAGGATCTTGAAAGATCCTTCCAGGCTTTCTGAAGGAATGATCGGGATTGAGAATAAGGAAATAGACATATCTAACCACTGCAAACCTGAATGAAGAAATAATATATATATAGTTTCTTTTTTTATTGATTGCATATTAAAGAACAATATACGTATTCAAAATGTAGTAAGAGTAACTATGCAGGGGCTGGATATATATCTAATTGTTGACCAAACCATACACATGCATATCCTTTATAAATACCGACGCCCATCACTTTCATTAGTGTATGTTGAAAAGTACCTATTTGGAGTATAACATTGTTATGCCCCGGACTATTTTTCCAAGTATTAACAGCTTCTGTTGGATTAACTGACATTGTTTGTCTTATATTTTTAGCATAACTAAGTGAGATTTCGAAGCCATTAAATTTATAATTACTTATTTCTGATGGTTTGCTCCACATTAGTTGTGCTTGTGCATGATCAGGTGTATATTTAACTGATTTCCATTTGCCTTTATTACTCCAACTATGCATATTACCACCATTAACATCCGGATTATTTTCAATAATATCAATAGCATGTGTGTGAGCAACATAAGCAAGATTAACAGATGGTTGAAGTAATGGTAAACCATTTTGTTGACGATAATTATTAATAAGGGTAAATATTTCTTGTTCTTTTGTATCCATACCATAAAAAAATGAGTTTTGTTTTCCATTATCTTTGAATTAGACGAAAGAAAGTAACAG